TGAACTTCTATATCCGTTTAACCAAATTCAACATGGCCACCACAGCTGGCCTACGTTGATGACCTACCGGGGTTTAAATCTGTAAACCTTTAGATGAAAACTCTGATTTGGAGCATAAATTTGCACATTAGACGGGCTTCCTCAATGTTTGCCTTTCAAAGACAACAGTACAGCGTGGTTTGTCAACGTTTTGGTTTTTTAATCCATCCATCGATTCATTACTTGTTATTTTACTTTTCTTTTATTCTCGAGTTGCACAGTGTAACACTATGGTCAACTTTGTTATAAACTGCATTATAAATAAAGCGGAGTGGTGCAGAGCGCTAACAGCGTACGAGAGCTTTGCTTAAATGTTTTGTCGTTACCTGCAGGAGTCAACCTTGATGATCCAAATAAATATGGCAACCATGGCTAATGGATCTCAGAAAAATGAATAAAAACCCGTTTCTTTTGAAATATATTTAATTAAAACTTTACACAATTTTTCACAATAAATATTCCTGCCATCTATGGGCATTATGAGGCGAACTCCGACGGCCAAAAGCGAAGTCAACACAAAATGGAAGAGACGAAATCTGCAGTGGGGATTAGAAAATAGCCTTTTTAGCTGCTTGCAGTCATTTTTACGTTCTTTTGGGTACCCATGGTCCGGAAGTAGATGAGCGTGACTTAGGGTGTTTCTCAATGCCAAGGAACCTTGCCTTGATGTCTTGGCCCCGCCCCGGTTGCCTAGGAGATACGTCATTGGGAGCTGCCAAGACGTGTTCCAATGTTCATGTTCTACCGAGGCGTGTGTTCTCCGTTTGTTAGCCGTTTAGCTAGCTGAGCAAGGATACACGGGAGGTGTCTTGTAGCCTAGCCTTGGTCAAAAATTACCCAGAATACACCGCAGTATTTTCAAAAGGACGGCGGATCAGAAGCTGGCAGCTACTTCAGGGACAATTTTCAAGTTTAAAAGTAAGTCAGCTAATTTAAGATATTTTTTTTAGATCCAAAGAAGTTATCTGTGGTTGGTTAGTTGCTTCGTAGTTGCAGCTTTGGTGGCTAGCGGGTAGTAACTCACTGATATTTTTAATTTAATAAACATATACACAATTTAAAAAGTAAAAGTCTCGTTATATATTTATATTGTAACTAATACATAAAAAATATAATGTTATGTCACGTGACGTTACCGCCGTGGAGACCGTGGTCACGTGATGCAAGTCTGTTCCATTTAACCATTTTCTTTGACCAAGGAAGGATAGTGTCCTTGCAAGCAAGGCGCCTGGCCTCGCAAGACATCGCCTCACTAGGCCAGGCACCTTGACACAGAGAAACACCCTTAGGCTCCCTAAATAAGCACACTAGAGACAAAGGTGCTGCGCCCTTTGCTGTACTGGAGGAGAATTACTTCACAACACTGACACACCAACTGAAAAGTACAAAAGGAAAACATCTCCGTTAATGTAAGTGTGAGCGCAAAGTTGCTAACGGAAAAAACTTGCCTTTACAACCGAGAAGGCAGAGTTACTCAACTGCAGTTTTCTGGCTAAATGGTCCACCAACCTCCGTTAGCTTCAGTCAGCAGAGTTAGCTTCAGTCAGCAGAGTTAGCTTCGGTCAGCTAAGTTAGCTTCGGTCAGCTGAGTTAGCTTCAGTCAGCTGAGTTAGCTTCAGTCAGCTGAGTTAGCTTCGGTCAGTCAGCAGAGTTAGCTTCGTTCAGCTAAGTTAGCTTCGGTCAGCTGAGTTAGCTTCGGTCAGTCAGCAGAGTTAGCTTCAGTCAGCAGAGTTAGCTTCAGTCAGCAGAGTCAGCTTCGGTCAGCTAAGTTAGCTTCGGTCAGCTGAGTTAGCTTCGGTCAGCTGAGTTAGCTTCGGTCAGCTGAGTTAGCTTCGGTCAGTCAGTAGCTTCAGTCAGCTGAGTTAGCTTCAGTCAGTCAGCAGAGTTAGCTTCGGTCAGCAGAGTTATCTTCGGTCAGCTGAGTTAGCTTCGGTCAGTCAGTAGCTTCAGTCAGCTGAGTTAGCTTCAGTCAGTCAGCAGAGTTAGCTTCGGTCAGCAGAGTTATCTTCGGTCAGCTGAGTTAGCTTCTACCTACGGCAGCTCACAGTTTAGTGACAAGATGCGAGACACGACCAAGATGGCGGTGGTGAGAACCGCCTATTGGGCGTCAATTTAGCTCAGAAACCTTCGTGTGACGTCACAGAGGGTTCGTTCATAGTGATCAGCAAACCCAATGATTTATTCTATCTAAATAAGATCTGACCATAACAGATAAATCCATCAGTCATCAAACCCGATCATTTTAGTGTAGCTGCCATTCTTTCAAGGTTAGCTTCCTCTCATTTCTAAAACGAGAATAATAACTGTGCTCTTCATCCCCAGTCAGCAGAGACGAAGAAAGAGCCCTTACTTTTAGTTTAGCTCTGGTTCAGTTGGATTCATTATTCAAACACATTAAAATGCCATGCATGCACATGGGATATGCACAGATGGGACATCTGTCCACAGGCGCAGATCCGTCCCGCCAATTTCCTCACCAACTTTAAACGCATTATGCTTCTTTGTGTTCACTTGTAATTTATAATCAGCTGCGGTTGAGATTACGATAAAGTATTTAGGTTTAGCTCATCATCTTTAAATTCCTAAAACATTGGAACTTGTTCCAAAAGTTGACTTGAATTGTTGCTCATGGATTTGTGATTTTATGGGAATCTTACACAAGGATTTGGGGTATTTGTGGATGAAAAAAAAAGGTTTTTGTCGTTTATCTCATAGCTACAGTGTGGGTTGAAGAGTGGAACACTAGAAAAGGATCAACTTCAACGTTCAAAGCCGAAGCAGCAAAACGGTTCCTTCACTCCTTAAGAGACACTGTGCACTTTTTTCATGTTTTAAATCAGTTTCTTGCAGAGCCGTGTCCAGGACTTTTAAAATGGGGTGGCCCATGTGGGGCACTTGTTCATGCATGGGTGGCACCAATGGTCATGCTTATTTATTTATTTACACAAATCGTTTACTTATTTATTTTTTACTTTCTAGTGAGTTTTTGAGTTTCACATTGCACGATCACCATTTTTTCCTCTTCATCTTCTAGTTTTGTGGTGGTTAGCAAGTCACTTCTTGTTGCATTACTGCCACCAACTGGAGTTGAGTAGGACTCTAAATAATATTTATGTAAATATGAAAAAATAATAAATAATATTAATACTACAGAAATGTTCTGTAGGCCTGGGCTAGTAAACAATGTTAAAGGTGCATGCTACCACACTGTTTTGGAGTTTACAACCCAAGCCTTTTGTCGACAATGTAAAGTAAATTTAAACTGGAACTTAGTAGGGTGGCACCTGGAGTGACCAATCAGATTCTAAGGGTGGCATGTGCTACCCCAGGCCACTCCCTGGACACGCCCCTGGTTTCTTGAGCCAGTATGTGCTAAAACGACCCTTTACAGGGTTGACAAAATGTCACTAAGACCCCCACCATCCTCTGTGGCCAGAATATTGCACTTGCAACTTCAGAGTGCCGATAGCTGTGAAGTGAAGTGGAACTGGCATCCCAGAACTGCAGTCTGCCTACAGCACGTTTCCTGCACAGCTGATTGGTTTGATTTAGTGCTGACTGACTTCTGTAGACACTAATGAAAGCTGAGGAGACATCTCAGCTGTCAGTTTAAGGTGTTAAAACAATAAACGCATAGCAAGGAAGTAAGTTTCACACTAGGGGGTGCAAAAAGTAAAAGCAGTTTTCCTTTAAACTGGCATGATTGACGTCTGCTTGCTCCTCACCTGTGCGAAACTTGTTCCTGATGAGAAGCGACCTCTCGGAGGCCAGCAGAGTCATTCTGGAGGGCGAGGAGGGAGTAGGGGAGCAGAGAGAAAGAGGAAACTCCTGGTGTCGTCCTACCAGGAGGAACGGGCCTCTGTCCTTCTGTCTCTGCAGAAGACGCGGCAGAGAAAGAGAGACAGACGCTTGTTAATCTACTGATAGACAAGAAAAAGAAACAATACGAGGCACGCACACATAAGGAAATAGAGACATCTGAGGACTGTGGGCAGACTGGTGAGCAGCTCTGGAAGCAGCAGGCCTCCCTTCAGACGGCAGCGTCACCGAGGCCCACCCACAGTCGGAGACGGAGCTAACGACACACAGAATTAAACAGACAAGAGAGCAAGGAGCCAGAGGGAGAAGAGGAGAGCCAGGCTTGCATGAGTGATGGTGACAGAAACCCCAGCAGATAGAGAGGCATCAGCGCCGGAGGACACCGGTGGTGACGGACAAACACAAACACCTCCAGCATGGCACCAGACATTTGCACAGTTACTGTAGGACCAAGGATGGGACTCATGGAAGAGAGCTGCGGCATCTGCACAAGCTGCATCCGAGCACACGCACACAGCTTATTAACAATATTGATTTAAAGTGGCCAGCAGCAGAGCACCCAGAGGACGGCTGTTTGAGGCCAGTGTGCAAACACACACACACACACACATGCTCCAACAGCCGAGGTCATGCATACTAATCCGCCGCAGTGCTCTGTCCTGTTCCCAGTCGGACAAACACAAACTTCCCTTATTTACAAGGCAAAGAGTCCAAAACTCGGGCCGCTAATTCATGATTGCATTCCTGAAGCTGATAGAGATTTCATGTCTGGCAGAGGCATCGTCTCAGCGGGGCACACCAAGACGCTGAAAACACAAAGAGAATAAAAGCGAGAGAATGAAAGAGAATACTTACAGGGAAGAGGGGAGAACTGCGTCCTTCGGGGGAAATTGAAGTGGACTTAAGATTAAATTGAGAGAGGTGAAAGACGGAGGAAGAGAGGGAAAGAGAGAACTTCGTAGGGCGGTTAATGACAATTTCTTTCTGTCATGTTCTTTTCATATCCTGTTTTTCCCTCTCTTCTACTCTTCTCAGTTCCTCAGCTTTTGTCCTGAAGCTGCAGAAGAAGTGAGGTCTGTGGTCTCTTCGTCCTCTTACTCTGAATCTCTCTACCTCAGCCCCTCTCCCCTGTTCTTCCCCCCTCCCCAAAAGCATCCCAGATCCCCGGTGCCAACTGCGAGGGACTGTCAAACCTCACCCCCCCACCCCCCTGACCCCTCAGTGCCAGGCCCCCCTCCCCCTGGCACCTGCTGGCTGGGACTGGGACTCCTGGACTCCTGTGTTGCCGCTGGACTCTGACAGTTGATGGAATCAGAGCAGTTCCTTAATGTGAGGCGCCGAGTCGATACATAATGTGATGGATAGAAAAGTGAAAGCAGGATAAGGAGACGGTTTATTACACGGCAACCAGAGGAGCCCCGGAGTGTTTTCGACTCACATCAAATTATGAACCGCAGCAGGACTGCAGGCTCATATGCTCATGTCAGGATACCTCTGGGTCACCCTCTTAAAATGATTTAGTGGTGTGTGTGCGTGCATGTGTGTGTGTGAGGCACTGTAAAGTCACAGGTCAGTAAGCCAGCTTCCACCAGCCAACGCTACAGTGTGGATCAGCACAAGAGCAAAGCAAAATGACCTCAAATTCACCTGGAGAGCATTCTCCTGCGTGTGCTCGCTCGTTACACGTGTAGCTGGGCTGGGGGGCAGAAAGAGAGAGAGAGAGAGAGAGAGAGAAGTGGGGTAAAGCGAGGTTGTCAGTGGAGCACCTGTTCCTCCAGTTTGACAGACAGGCCGGCGTGTGCTGCTTCAGCAGGCCACAGAGCAGGGAGGGGAGGGTGGAGAAGGTGACGTGGGAGAAGACGGTGAGAAGTTGGAGGCGATGGGGTGGGTGCAGCATAACATGGGGGTGAAATGAGGAGTCACATGACACCAGGGTCCACTAATCAGACAATATGGGGCAAAGGGAGCACATGGGCCAATTAAGGTTGCCACGGAAGCACTAATGGCACAAAATGAACAGGAACCTGGATTTAAATGGTTGCCATCCACCCCCCCCTGTCTGTGTTTGGTGGAAATTCTCCCCTTTGACAGCTTTGCCTCTCACCCACTGTAAGTGTATTCCTCACACAGCCGCACATAAACACTGACTTCACCGACAGCTCGGCACATTATTGTTAGATAGGTGATGTAATTGCTTTCCCACCACAGTTCTACCCTCTCCTCTGCAGCCGGGACTCCCTTTCTGATTAGCACCTGTTACCCTCCTTCTTACTCTCCTCCCTGCCACACACACACACACACACACACACACACACACACACACACACACACACACACACACACACACACACACACACACACACACACACACACTTCTTGGTGTTAATCCTGCCCTGTCTGATGAGCAGAGTCTTGCACGTGGTTAACCTTTCCCATCTGAAAGATCGTATTTCTTTGTGCAAATCTAGATTTTTTTTCTGGTTGTGCATCGGTTTGGAGAGCTGCACGAATAAAACAATTTCATGTTTTTAGTCAGAGCTGCCTCCTTTCTTCGTTAATTTTGCACGGTGCAGGTCCAGCTCTTCAAAGGCTCTCTGCCTCTCACCCTGATGGAAGTCTCCTCCACCATTTGAGACAGCTGAGACGGAACAGATAATGAGCCAAAAACAAAGAGTGCATTATAGGTGTAAGTGCGCCCCCACATGGCGGAGCTGTGCAATAACAGACAGGCTCATCTGTGAAGGGAAGATGGCATTCTTGGTTAGTTTGGATTCTTATCGTTTTGGCTCTCAGAGGTAATGAGAAGATTTGGGGAGTGTAAAACTTATAAAAGGCAGAAATATATCAAAGCTGAAACGCAGCCGTCTAAAGCTCTTCATTACATCTGCTGCCTCTCCTCGGCCATTCATCACTGCATCTATTCTCCCCCTCCCCTGTGTCTCGTGCCACTTAGAAGACCTGCTGCCCGCTTTTCTTCACACACACACACACACACACACACACACACACACACACACACACACACACACACACACACACACACACACACACACACACACACACACACACACTTCTGTCCTGGCTCTGTCTGTCATCCATCTGTGTGTCAGTCATTGCACTTTGAAGCTCTGTGCAATCTGGATAGTTACCGACCTGCATGCACACATGGAGACACATGTACAGTGCAACACACACACACACACACACACACACACACACACACACACACACACATCCACCTGGGCTGCTGATCTCGCACACTCAGCCAGCTGAATATTCATCATCACCATCATCACGGTGCAGCGAGGACCTTGTAGCAGCAGATTTGCAGCAGTTCAGGGAGCAGAATATGTTTTGTGGGTTTTTATTTCTTCTTCGTAACAGAAAAAAATGATTTTATTTGTGAGATGGACGCAGCTTCTCTGCCACGTTCACGTTGGAACTACTGATTTAAGGAGGCAGGTGATGGTTGACAACAGAGAGAGGGAAATAAGACATCTTTACTTGCCAACTGAAAAAGGCTGCAGTGGCAAAATGATCAAGAGGAAAAATATTTGAAGTGTGTCATAAACTAGATGCAACGCTGTGGAAACAAACAAGAATAAGTAGTGATTGAGCAAAAGAATGAATTTAATTCATTAGATTTCACCTCCAGAGCTGATGGAGCGTAGATTTTAAGTTTTATTTGTCAGATTTTAGAAAACAATTCATGCAAAATCTTATGCAAATCATCTGTTAGCACTTATTTAGGTTTTCTGTTGTAACGGAATGAAATGACTGATTTTTTCCCTCCTCTGCACAAGACTAGTCTGCATGAGAGATGGTCTCAAGGTCTCATGCATTCCTCCTAACCTGCTTATTTTCAGCTCAACAAAAGAATGAAGAATGAACTCTTTTCTTTTAATTAATCAAAGAACTCTATTTTAATAAAGCTAATCCATCAAAGTGTTAGTCAATAAATAAGATGTGACCGACCTGTGAAATCAAAATGTTAATTACTTTATTATAATCCTATAGAATATAATAAGTAATATGACTTTAAGTGTTCCAACAGGACTGATTTCACGTAGTGTTAAAAAGACACGACACATTACTTTTACTGATCCAGTCAGAATCTTACAGATCTGACGGAGGCGTGGTTCTGATGGTGTTTGGTAATTTTTCATTCGACAATAAACCATAACATCTGAAGTATGAAACTATGCCACGTGAGCTCTAACGCCAGTTCAAAGCGTTCCAGAGAAAGTGACGGAGTGGCCAATCCTGATCTAAACTCTTCAACCAAAAGAACCAACGACGAGCTGAAAAATCTGTTGCTATTCCAACTGCGGCAACAGTTCCTTTGAGAATAAAAGCTGAACCATCAAGACCCAGGCTTGGGTCTCACCAGACGCCAACAAACTGTCGTGTACCCGGAAGTAACTCACAGACTGGACTGATCGGAACCGCTGCTTTTCCTACCAGCTCGGTTCCAGAGAAGGTCAAGCTGGACCTTGATATTCCTGATCTAAAGGGGACTTCCACGAAGTGTAGGTAGACCGGAAAATGGTGTTTCATGTGTTTATGAACCTCCTAACCAAAGCTTAACGCGACGACATCACCTTCAGTTCCTGTCAGAACTAATCGCTTCTTCGGATTTGCTGGTTCTGATTAACATCACACGTCATCCATTCACCGTCTCATCCACTTTAGTTACACCACACATCATGTAGTGTTTAAAGTCAGTCTAGATTAATTTGTTAGTAATAAAATTCTTAACTTTTAAACTTGACTCTCTCTCTCTTCTGTTGTCTCTGAGTGAATACGAAGCTGTTATCTAATCCCTGCAATAAAAAGTTCCAATCTTCTGGTTCAAATAACCTCACAGATCCGTAAGGTGGATTTCATATTTCCTATGGAATCCTACGCCTTATGGCTTATTTTATAACCTGTAATCTAATTCATTACAATGTTTAGAAGGAGCTGAATTTTTAACTCAATATCTGTACATTTCAATGAGCTTGAACACTTTTACAATAAGATTCCCTTTTTTAAAGAGACAATGTGTAGATTTTACCATTAATCTCTGGAAACATCCATTGAAATCTTGTTAAAAGCAAATTAAATGATGCCTAGTTGTTGAAAAATATTGGCGACTTTGTAACATATAACCTCAAAATCAGGTCTAAAACATGGGACTTGGGGTGTTTCTCTTTGTCAAGGCGTCTGGTCTTGCAAGGCGATGTCTTGCAAGGCCAGGCATCTTGCTTACGAGGACACTGTCCTTCCTTCATAAAAAAAATACGATTAAATGAATCAGACTTGCATCACGTGACACAGGAGATAACATTATATTTTATATGTATAAGTTTCACTATAAATATTTAACAAGTCTTTTACTAAATTGTGTTTATATTTGTTAAATTAAATATATAAGTGAGTTACTACCCGCTAGCCACCGAAGCTGCAACTACTGTACTAAGCAACTAACCAACCATAAATAACTTCTTTGGAATGAAAAAAAAACAACATTTTAAATTAGCTGACTTACATTTAAACTTGAAAATTGTCCTCGAAGTAGCTACCGGCTTCTGATCTGCCGTCTTTTTGAAAATACTCTGGGAAATTTTTGACCAAGGCTAGGCTACAAGACACCTCCCGTGTACCTTCGCTCAGCTAGCGAAACGGCTAACAAACGAAGAACACACGCCTCAGTAGAACATGAACATTGGAACATCCTTGGCGGCTCCTGATGATGTATCTCCTAGGCAACCGGGGCGGGGCCAAGACATTAAGGCAAGGTTCCTTGGCATTGAGAAACACTGTAAGGGTGTTTCTCAATGCCAAGGAACCTTGCCTTGCAAGGCGATGTCTTGCGAGGCCAGGCGCCTTGCTCACGAGGACACGGTCCTTCCTTGGTCAAAGAAAACGGTTAAATAGTTCAGACTTGCATCACGTGACATGGGAGATAACATTATATTTTATACGTGTTAGTTTCAATATAAATATATAACGAGCTTTTTACTTTTCAAATTGTGTATATGTTTGTTAAATTAAAAATATAAGTGAGTTACTACCTGCTAGCCACCGAAGCTGCAACTGCTAAGCAACTAACCAACCATAGATAACTTCTTTGGATCCAAACAAAAAACATTTTAAATTA